GATTGTCTGTCTGACGGATGATTTTAAGATAGTTTACTTATATGTCAGGCATTCCGTGCTACAGATATTATTGTTCACTGTTGTCATGTGGCATTTAAGTATAACGAAAATTATCGTCACAGGCTATATAATGAGCAGTTAGATTTCTTATGAAGTCATACTGCGAATGATGACTAGTATGTTGAAGGCACTTTATAAAGGACATTTGTTGTAACCTGTAAGAATTTATTCCCACGTCGTACTTTTAAAGATATGGGTATGCATATATGGTATAAAACTCTCTGGGTACATGATGTCACACGCTCTGTCATAGTTTACTGAACACATTACTATTATTTGAATATCCAGATAGTATTGAGGGATCCGCATAGTTACCCATTTGCCAACGGATGTTGAGGAATTCGATGTAGTACAGTAACGGGAGATGACAAGTATCAATAAATAATATCAGATGCTCCTTAAACTAACTCCACAAAGACTTTAGTGTGCCCTTCTCGACAGTCGGTTATATATATATATATATATATATATATATATATATATATATATATATATATATATATATATATATATATATATATATATATATATATATATATATATATGAATAGACGTTCAGATCCTATTTGTCTGTCCCTACCCCAACCCCTTCAACATGACTCAGAATATAATCGTTTCTAATGAAAAAACTAATTAATTCAATGTATCAATATTAATTGATACGTAGAAAAGGGTTGAACACCGGTGACAAAAAAAGCATTCAAAATCTTCTCATGCTTAGCAAAAATGAAAACAATAAATCATGTAAAGGTTAACATTATGAACAAAAAATGCTTATTCAATCGATGTTTTCAAGATGGGAAACATTTTTTGTGTTGTTTGTGTTGATGATGATGAACATGAGAGAGAAAATAACGCCCCATCAAGACGATAAATCAAATAGACAGTGACATTTTACAGACTGTAAAGTTATTAGGTAATTGAATCAGAAATGTTACAGACGAATGTCATGGTGTAATAGATAGAATCTATAACGGTTATCAACTGTTCCTTGTCTTCAAACTACCTCCACCCCATGCCTGTCATATCTATACCTTGAAAGGAAATATCCCTAAAGGTGAGATAACAAGCAGTTCAGTGTGTATTCATATTTTATCACATTCCAGTACGGAAACACATACAGATACACATGCATACCTAAACACAGGCATTCGCACCACCAACTATTTGCATACAATACGGCGATGATGATGGTGACAATAATGATATGCAGACTGGAAGTGAGGGTGACACCTATGACGAAAAAATATTTTTGAAAAACACAAAACTATCTCAGTCTTTTTCTTTTCAGTAAAAACTGAAATATTAAACCTCTGATTAAAAGTTGAAGCATTGTAAAACGAATATGGAATCATTTGTCAAAAATTTATTACCAAAGTAAGTCTTCAAAGTTATATCACAGTGTCGCTTCACTGGCGGAAAGTAAGTTCAATGGATGGGAGGGTAGGGGTGTAGAAGAAGTAGCGTAAATAGGTCCTGTAACAGAACGAAATTTGCACAATTAAAAAGGTGGCAAAAATGGCATACAGTTATTCGTTGAGCAGTAGGATGGAATATACGACGTTGTTCACTTAGCGGCAACAAAAACATTCTGCCAAACCATGGGTAATCTCATTTACAGTCAACACAATGCTCTCCTTCTCCTAATCAGCTTGAAATGTAGTGACTGGGCAAACAATGTGAGTAAAATGAACGAACAATTACATCTCATGGATTCACACGGCAACCGGACAAAACCTTCAGTAACTGAAATGGAGTGAAGACCTGTTGAGTAATTGAATCTCGTAGCTCTGTTGATGGAACACATGTCATTTATTTGAGGGACACTGGTTTGAATCGTGTCACGAAATCGGTTTTCATCTCATCCCAGTCGCCACTTAGTATCATGGTTTCATACTTCCCTAGTGTTTTCATAATGTGTGGAAGAGGTAGCTGGAAAAAGGTGCATATGACAAGTAATTCTTAGTTTATATTTCTAGACTTAAAGCTATTGGTATTATTCAAATAATTACAATTTGTAAGCTTCTGGACATCAAGTTGATGATCACTGACCTCGGTGGAAACAAACTCTTCAACCACATCCGTTACTGTGTACAGCGTCCTTTGAAGTCTACAGTAAACCTTTCTCTAGGATAATGATAATGGATGCTTTTAGTTTAGGGATATACAATCCTTAGTACTCAGATGTATTTTGGGTCAATGATCTGAAGACAAGCAACTGATCGAGGATTATTCTGTACCTAGTTGACTTCGTTATGATACGCCTAAAGCATAGCACCAGTAGACTGGTATACTGATGCAATATTCAGTCAGAATGAAACAACTGGTTGGATAAATTACGTTATATGCTTATATGGTGGATAATTTACACAGTGTCAGTTCACATGATACCGAGTGTATTTCATGGCCTAAACCTCTGATGGAAATAAAACGTCTGCTCATCGAAATAATCAAAATAGTTGTGTTCATAGCATAAAACATGATAAGTTTCTTGTTGTTTGATTACAACTAACTTTACAACTATGACAGAAGAAAGAAGACTAGTGAGAACTGCTAAAGAGTATATACCATTGACAGTTAGTAAAACACTATCCCATATGTAGATAAAAGATTAGCAATAAACGCTAGAGGATCCAGATCTGTAATCCATTGAATCATCTTACAGTGTAAAAAAATTATAGTTTTCAAGACTTTGTGATTGACTAGGCAACATGTTCAAAGCAGAAATTGACTTGTTAAGAAACAATCTCATTTGATTGAAAATAACTTCACTACAAATTCGGTTATTTAGAGAAAATCACGTTAAACATTTTATCGTTGTGTGGAATGATTGTCCAATAAGCAGATCAACTTAATTTGGTCAATAAATACCGGTGGTCAATACGGGTACATTTAAATCTACTCATGTGATGCAGTAGTATATCACATATTTGCAAAAAATGAGATCGTTTTCAAGTTATTTTAAATTTTATGTCTTTGTAAGAAGTAATTCTCTCTCTGGCTTATTGATTATATGATTAACTTTAGAGATGAACTGACGGTTTGCATAATTTCACCAAAGGTATTTAAGGTGTATGGAAGTGCAGTGGCCTGTGGATATGGGGTTCAGGCATCAATGGGAACATCAACTCTTACTGGAATGCAAGAACACTCAGGTGAACAGTCACAAATAAGATGATATGGTTCACCAGTGAAGATGTACCTTTGTCTGTGGGCATGTCCATCGTCGATTGGACCGAAGTGGTAGTCTCTATTGGTAGATTGGTAACTTCGCATCTACCTCGATATTGCTGGTATTTCTCATATTTGATATTAATGATGGAGAGTGACTAGCAGTATAGTACGGGTCACGCGTTTCCTTTTATTTGGTATTCGTCAGCTGGGTGTACCTGCCCTTCAGTGAGCGATGTTGTTCTCACTGGGACTCGAACCCAGGAACGATGGTTTCAAACGCGAGTGCAACTCACTGAACCACCGAGTCACGATGGCCACTTCTTGTGCGACGGGTATAAAATAGTATTTGCCGTTATAGCAAATACTTTTCTGCCGTTGATTGGACAGAAGTGGCTGGGCACTACCGGCTAACTAGTCTGAAATAGGACGAAAGGCGCGTCTTGGGTTTCATTCCTAGTCACTATCCATCGTTAAAGCACCTTTTTACCTTGCTTAGAAATAATACAGATTTGTGCATGAAATTTCTTTGTAAAGTCGACGATATTCAGAAATGATAACTAAGATGGCTAACGGGTTACACACTGTATTGAACTGACTAGAAGTGATCAATGTTCATTCTACTTATAAGTAGTCAAAATTGAAGAGCATCATTTAAAACCAAGATTGGTAGTGTAGTCATCATTATTTTGCCAATCTTATATTTGTACTACTGAGCTCCGTCAAAAGTAGTAGTAGATCACTAACACTTAACATTTTTTTGTCATTCCGTCTTTCCAGTTTAGAGGGATTATTGATTGAAAAGTTTTTCTTATTGAAACCTAAGGATCACCAGATACCATTCAATTTCTTATCACCGATCAACTAGTTAAACAGACAGACAGATAGACAGAAGCATAAAAGCTGCATTGAGAAGGAGCTTCCCTGCTGCCAAACTGATCTTAGTTTACAATACAGTATGCTCCATGACATAGTCAAAAGTAAACAAATATCCATCTCACATCACCTCCAACTGTGTATATCAATTCACCAGTGGTTGCTGAAGCAAGTACATAGAATGAACATAAAGAAAGGCGTCTACTCGATTTTATGAGCATATCCCAAAAAGTCTGTGTCTGAAAGTCCTTAAGAGCGCAATCGCCAGGGACCTGATAGAAACAGGAAATCAAACCGATGTTTCTCAATCCTTCAGGATAATCAACAGACAATGAACGCCATGTTTTTTAGTCTGCGAAGGCTCTTGCTGTCAAACATTTTCAACGTGGCCTATGTACTCAGAAACAGACTGTACTTAACCTTTATTTACGTTGGTAACTGTATGCAATTTTTTGCGTGTAGATATGATTGAATCATTTCTTCACTACTTACTTACTGGCTGTTAGTCACTTAATGATTTTCCAGCTCTTCTTATAGTTGCGTAACCTACGAGCTCTTAAACGGTCCCTTCTTTTAGACTGATTTTCGTTTGTTGCCAACCCCTACTCCACAGCTCCAGAATTTTCTATCTCATCAGTTATCAATTGCCGTGTATTATGACTAAGATTCGTAACTATGAATCCTGTGTTTCCTTGACTCACTACCTGATTGTTAATCCTGGATTTCAAATCTCTATTTATTTCTACATGTTTGAAATATATTATGCCATTATCACTACCAAAACTTCGTTTCGATTGTAGGCTGTTTGCAGTCGGTGAAAGGCTGTGAAATAAAATGAGCTTATTCTATTCTGCAAAGGTCTTTGTTTTTACATTGTTTAAATAAACAGATCTTGATAGTGAAATCAGATAGATTTACACAATGGTTTCATGTCTTATTCTTTTGGAACCAAGTTCATCGTGTACCGATACAGGAAAATCTTAAAACAACTGTCAATTTCTTGACTCATTGGAAGTATGCTAACTGATTTAAGAAAGTTATCGATTGAAATTACATTTTCGAATGAAAGTGTCATGACAATACATCCTAGTTCTTTGCTGCATTCACACATACATTTATCAACACTGACGACAACACTACTTGAAAATACATATATTTGAATCATGTTGTCCATGCAAATCAGGGCAACATCAGACATTAAAGACATAAATGCACATATTGACAGTTGTTTTTTTATTCCTAGCTTTCTATGTCTATGTCCGGACATCACCTTCAGTGATGTTTCCTTGAGAAGAACAAGTAAGCTGTTAAAATACTTCCAAGTGGAGATGAACACGCTTATCAGCATATTCATTATGGATTCATTCATATGCAGTACAGAATGGAAAGTCTGTTCCATTCTTCAGTAGAGCATTCATATATCATTCGGATACTTCATTTCATATGAGATGTTACGCTTAGTGTTAAAGTAATTTAAAAGAACAATTGGTGTATGTTTACCTAGTTTACTTATACTTTCCGCTTATTTTTTAAGGAGAATAATGCTACACAATAAACAACTTTCGGTTTTGGAGGAAATAAGAAAGAGAGGGGGGTAGGCAGAAAGAGACAGAAAACCAGTGAAATGGACAACATTTAAGAGTTCTATGCTTAGGAAATGATATACTTGGGACTAACTACTACTGACAAGTTATCAACAGCTGTTGAGTATATATATATATATATATATATATATATATATAGCTTTGATCTTCATCACGACACTGAATACTGAACTTTTTTCACAGTATACACAACTAAACTCTGTGCTGTAGAAGATATTTATTTGTATGCCGGATATTGAAGTTATAGATTGATATCAAAGAAAATAACTGATAAACATTTATGAAGCTTTTAAGAATGAACATTTTACAAGGTCATAATAATGCACGGGTAATATGAATCGCCTTTCACCTATCAGATTAAGTCTAACTGGTTAATCATATTCAATTTTAGTCACGTTTACAACCAAGCACCAGTGAAGAAAACACTTATGAATTTGAACTGCAGACCTGAGATAATGTCCTCCCAGACTAGTCATGAGATCGAGGTAAGGCAATGAACCTCGACAACCATCTGAAGATTCCTCCATCAGATAATCAGCCACTTCTAGAGTCTCCTGCTGATTACTTCCAGCCAAAGTGCACCATGATGCTGAGCCTCCTAGCTTGATGATCAAATTACGAAATGATCCATGGGATTCAGTCACCACTACACAACATTAAGTTGGTTACTCTCTAGTGACCCATGAATGTACCTCCAGTATGTGACATCTAATGATACTAAATGGTTAGTCAAACCATTGTAGGTAGAGTAGGTTTTAAACATGCGACCAACTGGTTGTGACAGCCGGCTTCTTAGAACAGCAAAGCACAGTTTTCCACAAACAGTTTTTAAACCTTTTAAATTCTTGTCAACAAACCACATTTTAGTAACTAATGATAATGTAAAACTTAATACTATACGGTGTGTGAAAATACCTAACAGGGGACTGTATCATTTGTAGCCGGATACGGTAAAAAGTGTCTCCTCTTTTCCAAAGAATGGGAAGTGGACACAGTAGCGTACTTAATAATGGTGAGTTACAAGACTGAAAGGATATAGTTGCAAAATTCATTCTTACCACCACTACTACTCTGACTACATTTCCATATGGATTCATTGTGAATTGAAACGGTCATCAGAAACGATGGCAACATGCACTTAAAGTTTACATTCAGAATTGCAATAAAAAATACCATGAAAAAAGAACCCTATATAAATTAGATGAAACACACAAAAAGAATAAATATAACCTGGAAAACTGTCAATCACTTCCCCCTATTATCTTTTAGGCTAATATCATTCTACTCAAAATGTAAAAAAGTGAGGATGTATATCACAGCTTCTGAAACAGATCAGCAACTGGAGAAATAGATGGAAAGATGTGAGTAATCTACTCAATTGGGAATAAGGTGAATCCTCTATCTTTATGTGTGCGGAGGTGGATATTTTAAAGAAAAAACTTTGTTGAACAATATCTATGTACAGAATGCATATAGTGGTCTCTTAAAGTGTTCTATTCATTCACAATGAATTGTCATCAAGATGCATCTTCAGCTTACGTTAAAGTAGACGTAGTAACTAAGGTTAGGCTGTTGTTAATGCTGATTATAATAAAAACTAGAGGCTCAACAGGTGTAAATATCAAGTAGGTATTGTATTTTTTGTGGAAAATAATCTGCTTCACTTGAAAGTGAACATATAAGTACACACAAATGAGAGATGGAGTGAAAGTTTAAATACTTCAGTACAAGTTACACGTAAGGAAAAGATATTTAGCTTAGCAGGATCAAATAAACAAGTCAACACAGACATTCAGGAATTTCTGTTTTTCATACCTCTTAGCAGGAGAACAGATGAAGAGAGGAGAGTAATGAGCATCTCATTACAGTTAGGTTTCAGTAACATGGTTAAATTTTTCTGTTTGACTGGTGACACCATCATTGATGTGAGAGAGTAGGAGTCAATCAGTTAGAAGCCTTTGAACTTGGTTTCGGGTTTATTGGCACTCATCAGCAAAGTATATTTGCAACCACGAGGAAATTTGGGTTTTCTTAGTGATTCAATCTAATCTGAGAAGTCACCTAAATACTCGTTTATTGAATTTCATGGTTTAGACTGAGAGTTAAGAATTGCATAGTTTGGTGCTAAATATTGCAGCCAGCTTATTTTTTACACTGTCAAAAGATGATTTGGCAGTAGATATACGCGAATTGGCTTAACTCTTCTGTTAAAATGGTGCTTACTTTACAGACCAAATCTAATAATAGGTCAATAAAAAGTGTGAGGTTATAACTACATCGTCAGGGATCAGAACCAAAATGAGCCATATCTACTATATGGAAGCTAATTATATTGCATGTTTGCCCAAACCTTGTTAAGTGGAGCGGACTTCTAACGCGTGATATAGTGAACGGAGAAAAAGTGCCTATAACATTGTATTAAGGCTCCATTGAATTATTGTTTTTTGAAAGAATTGAATGTAACTCCACAGTAACTGACCCTTACAATTTCATGCTAAACCAAGCCCTGTACCCTCCGTGGAGCCATCCATGGCTCATGGGTTTGAACCTTGCTCCAACTACTGAGGTTTCGGCAGCCAGCTAGTATCATCCGTCAATGATAGATATGACTCAATACATACTGCACGAATGTGTACAAGGTTGCTGAGTGCACTTCAGTTCTTCCATTCGATTCGATTCGAAAAATAATGGTCGATCTTTTCTAACTGCTGTCAACTTGTCGACCATAAACCTGTCTAGTGCACCTCAGTTGCTTCTTTCCAGCGTAGGACAGTTAAAAAAATGTCATTTTTGACTCGATAACTTTATAAATCGCAATCAGGTTGATTACCAACGACATAAGAAAGATATGAGAATAAAGGTAATATAAAGACGAGACTAATTCTGAAGGGAATAAGCTTTCATTCAATCAAACTTCTCTGTTTTGATACTCAGTAACAATAATCTCTTTTAAATAGTCACAAGAATAGCTTATCGAATACAAGTGGCCAACAGAAGTATAAATAAGCTCGTAGTAGCTGATTATATCGGGCACAAGATAAAAGTAACACCATGGTTACCGTGATCTTAACATAGTCATGTTTTTAAAAAAAGAAACACAAGTACTACAATGAATGAACTGAATTGAAACAATACAAACTTGGTAGGTAAATTAGTATGGTTGTAAAGCAATATAATGATTGAAGTAAGATAAAAATCTGGTCATCAGTCGGGTCCCCTAGCTCAGTTAGTTCGGCCGGAAACCCTTTAATCACCGGTCCAAATCCTGTTGCAACTCAAATTTACATTTCACCTTCAATCATCACCCAGCATTAATATGATTTACTTGGAATACGTGTATGCGTCTTTACAACTGATAGGTTTTCAAAACTAATCGGCTAATCGATATACATGATGATAATCGATCAAGCAATTATCGTTATGACTGATCACTTTCTCTAATAAACTATTATTGTTATTATTATTACTGCCAACATTCTTAACTTTCATTGTTACTAAATATATCAATGACAATAATCATAATAACAATAACAATAATAGTTTGTTAGAGAAACCGATCAGTCATAATGTCAGCTATTTTTTCTGTTATAGTCATGTGAAGTATGTGAGCACAAAGCAAAGTATGGTGAGTGAAAATATTTAGATAATTATCGATGTGAGGCAAGAAAATACAGAGAGAGAGAAAAGGTAGATCAATAAAAGATGATTTTATCATCGAAAAACTAAAGTTTTAAAGCATAGTTTTAGTACTGCTGAAGCATGGGAGTAGAAATATACCAGAAAGTAACAGAAGTTCAGAGTGAACTTACTGGTGTTCAACTACACATCACTTAGTGTTCGGACCTTGTAGGTATTGATCAATATTGATCAATAATCGCCGACGATAAACCAGTCAATCAACGATGTCTTACCCTGACTGCAGAAAATTCAATGCTTAATTTTAGAATATGACATTTTAGACACTAAAGTGGAGTTTTAGAGCCCTCACAAGTGCGAGAAATAGGTTAAGTTATCATGTAACTAGTTTTTAAGTGAACAGTTACATCTTAAGTATCATAAACAGAAGGAACGTAAGACTTCAAAAAGGTACACAAGTGTACACTTACTTGCTGCGGTTTGTTACTTGTATTCATCTCTACTATGTAATTTAACAGGAGAGATATACAGATGATAGATCCACAATAGGCCTAGTTGCCTTCTTCCTGTGACTGGAAATGTATTTTAAAATTTAGAAAAAATATATCCCAAATCAATGTGAATGAATAATGAACGTCTTTTTAGAGATTGTGATAAAATGTAAAGGAAAAATGTATAACTGTTGACAGTGGATACAGATGCATTTGTTCACACCTGTAAGTGCAATAATAATGACGGTTTCGATCCATTCACAGAGTTCGATAGTGTAATCCACTTATGAATAAGATATGATCGTATTTCCTCCAGTTAGATGGATCGATTGGTGACTAGTTGTAAAAATAACATATGTATCAGTGTGTAGGTTTAAAACAGTATGTGCGTAGTAAGCAATCGTCAGTATTTTGGGTAATCAATCAATAATTTTGGCAAAACTAAGTAGGAGATATCAAGATGTTTAAATTTCAAATAGGATATTTTTGTTATCTTTGATAGGTAAATCTGTCAACCTGAAGGCCATATGAGGTTGCTCATGACAGTGGAGTCTTATCAATAATAATATACACATGAGAGTAATTCACACAGCGTTGTAAACGAGATAAATTAGGTTAGCTTACTGTGAGTGCCGTCAAACTGTCAAAAATTGTCAGAAATTTATTGCATGAATACTGTGCTTGAACGCCTGTGCCTATACATTGACCTGTCAAACTGTCCAAAATGATATAGGGGGTGGATAGAAAAATTCTAAAGGTAGAGAGAAAGTTGAAAACATTTCTTAGGTTCTATATGGTTAATAGGTAGACAGACAAGCAAAAAGGCTGCAAAATCATTTTAGATTCGATATTTCCGGTTGGCCTAACATACTACTAACGGCCGTTCGACCAATCACAGCTCAGAGACCTCACATACCTATATAGCGATTGGATAATATAGCGGACTAATAAGCGTCAAATAGCTTTCTCAACCGTAGTCTATTGGCCTGAAATTATTGGTTAATTGAAAATTAGGCTTTGGAGGTGGGATGTTCATCAGTTAAACCAATCAACGTTAGATTGGATTTCTCTTAAATCTAATAGATAAACGACAACTGGCAGACTAGGTTACATTTGAAGCAGAAATAATTTTCTGTTAAAATTCAAACAATTAATCACTGAATGGAACTAAGCTTGTCCGATGTAATGGGTGATTTCCTTTAGGTCGATAAGGACAGTTTTATTGTTTGTCAATGTATTTGTTCAGATTCATTGTGAGACATAGGCAAAACAACAATAAGTGACCTTGTGTACTGCCTACGTTTGTCCTTCGGTGACAAGCAAAACTAGTAATTTTTCAAATGAGAATATTGTTGTTTGAACAAACTAACAGCTGAAAATATTAGTGAACACTAATATATTTCGACTGTCAGCACTAGTACTGTGTATTTCACATAGGTCCATGAATATATGACGACAGTTAGATTATACCTACAATCCAAATGCATTTCCCAAGTATTCTAACCTAGCTTCGTGGGAATGCTGTGTGGAAATCTCGTACCGCTTCCACAGTCTGATTCAGAACACATTTAAAAACATTTAAAGTAACCGACTCTTCACTTAGTTCCAAATGGATCTCACTAACGGTCCTCAGAGGGAACAGAACTGATATCATAAATTCCCCTGATGTCGATTACACATACTTTTCTTGCACATTCTTCTGGAGAAGGAATGGTCAGGCGTGTAACGTGATAACTGATGAACGGTCTCCCATCTGTCATCTACAGGGTTGAACTAGCAGTCATCAAAATGAGATGGAGATTTACTTAACAGCTTGATCTCACCGTAACCCTTTAAAGTGGTAGCCTAAGGTCATTTGGTTTTAGTACTGTCGTAACCCAGTTCATCTAACAGCTTCTTATGTACACACCTTGTGAAGGCAAAGATGAAGCAGTGGAAGAGAGAATGATTTCATATTTTCAAACTGTTTGGATCAAACCTGCCAAAACCTTCTTTAGGAATTCTGAAAAGAAACACTAGGAAAATCATGAACAAACCGCTTTTTGATATTCAGAGGAAACTGCATTTTGATGCTGAAACCAACAAATATCGTGAATTATTCCCTGGAGTGTCAGTCTCTTTAGATTTGATTCCTGTCAGAGATCACTGACATGAGCTCCACCAAGAACTTATATTCTCATTTCAAGATCAGTCTTCATCGACGTAAGTGATCATCTACTTTCAGTGCATGACATAGCTCTCCAAAGGTTGAGCAATTAATTTAGTTAGATTGAAGATTCGGGAAGTTAGTAATCTGAATTGTCACGGTTCTAATCTCATCGTTAACAGGCGTATATCACACGGAGTAAGACCACTAAGATGACCGATTGTTACTCTTGTCTAGTTTGGGACTGATGAGTAATGTACTCAGTTAAACTCTGGTAGGATGGAAGAGGGATTTCCGTAAATTAAAAAGTGTGTCTGACTGTTGAGCCGTTGGTTTGGAGACCAGTGGATCAATGGATTAATCTTCCATATACTACTTAAATTAATCACATCGTACAATATTCAGTATCTATGAGTTCTAAAGTAATATGTTTGGTAATTAGAATTATACCTGCTTAAGTGAAGATAATCCATGCGTCTACTTGTTCAGTAAATGCATAGGTTAACTGAGTGGTTCTTACTGAATTGACTGAGTTACACATAGTTTCCATCATGAATTGTTTTCAGTTGGCGTCACCACTTTTAAATGGACAGTAGGCAACAGTTTTTGTCGTTCTACTCCAAATACTGATAACTTCATATGTCTATCAGTACAAGACTGGTCTTGTAACTTCATAGAAACCACTTTAAAAATGTACTCTGCTGTTTCTGAGAAATAATATATCAGGATGCTGAGTAATATAAGCCTTTGGATGGCTATAAGCTTGTTAATGAATTTTTTTTATATTTCATGTTTTGCAGGATCAAAAATACCCTTAATTATCAATTCAGTAACTTAACTTGTAATCCTGTAAGAGAAACAATACTATTAGGGGGAAATACTTCTAAGAAAAATAGCATTCATTGTTTCGTCCTTGGAGAACAACCAATGATTGGCCAACTAGATTCGGGTTGAGAAAGGAAGCCCTGGCTAGGCAGCCACTGTGATTAAGATATACGGACAGTTCCGTCTCATGGATTCATATGGTAACCGGACAAAACCCTCAGTGATTAAAATGAAGTTAAGGACTGGTCATCAGCAGGATCTCGTAGTTCAGTTTATTGAACAGTTGACCGTTAACCAGGAGGCCACTACTTTGAATCCTCCAGAGACCCAGGTCTTCAGCACACCTTCAACTACCACCCAGTATGAACAACAATAGTCTGTCAAACCAAGGCGCAAATGGCGTTGGCAGTAATGTCACATTGTCTAGTCATAAGTGACAAATTAATTCTCTTAATCAAGTTAACCACGTCACCATCAAGCTAGGTGAATCATCAATGCGACGCATTCTGACTGATCTTCGATGGATCATAATGCAGATTACTTTTATCTGGCAATAATATTACAAAACTGATTTATAGAATTCGGCCAGCAGACATATGATTGGATGACGTACTATCGATTACACTCTAGCGACTAATCAGTGTGCCTAATTCAGACCTAAAAGAGCTGAGAAACAGTTGGAATAAGGTTGGATGTTGCAGGTTGGGAATCTGTAAGAGGGATTTCAATTCCTTTGAGGATACAGATGCGAATGGCCAACAAAGGCTAATGAGCTCTAAATTCAGCTTCATCGGTTCATCTGGACTGTCTTTAAGTCATTTACCAAAAAGATCACACTTAAGATCATCACGAATATTTCATTCCAGTTGTATCATGTCTGGATAGATAAACTTATATCCATGTAGTAAGTAATGCCTATGGAGATCCCTAAGATAAAAGTTATTATATAGATTGTTCTCAGTGTCTACTTCAGTGATGTTAATTTACTGAATAAAACATGTCTTGCAAATTGTAAACGCTATGGGCATGCATACAGTGTTTTAAATAGGACTATTATTATGCAAATTATTTATAGAGTTCACGGTGCATGTTGGCATTTCTAACAGCTGAGTAATTTTTCAACTGGCCAACTGTGGTTTTAACAGAGTTTCCGTTGGAAATTACCTAGCCAAGATTACAAGGTGTCATGAACTTGGTAAACTACACTACTGAACAATTTGAGCAGTGAGAACCGACTCATGTTGATCTGCTAACTTCACTAGCCAGATCAGTTTGTTTGAACAATTCGGCTTTGAGATGAACTCCAGTTACACAGCTCACGATTTATAAACATATCCTTTTTGCCAAATAAAGCATCATTTATCCTACTACAGGATTCGGTCACTTAAAATCAAATTATTATCTTGATTAAGGATATCTGTTGCAAAATAAAATATATCTTATCACTGCTGCATATCAGTTTTTCTGCTTGACACATTCCCTCTTTCACACTCTTGATAGATATAACTCTAAAATAAATCTGTACACTGATAAAACGAGAATAAGACTCGACTAGATTAGCCAATATATATGTATGTGCTCAAGCATTCTGTCAAGTTACAACATGAAACCTTGACAGTGTACTGAATAAATCTGACAACACAGAAAATGTTTATCTATACTGAAATAAAACGCATATATATAATATATATATATATATATATATATATATATATATATATATATATATATATATATATATGATTACGATTAACTGAGAATATGATTTTATGATCGATAAATCGATCGCTAAGCATTTATATACGATACACAGGCTGTCCAATTTTTATGTGGCTTATAAGAAATGATTTTTATGATGTATGAGTAATAATTTCTTCCCGAAAAGAGAATGCAACCGATGATCATCAGTTAACCCGCATTTTAGTTGGTCAATTCAATGTGTAACAACTTTACAACTAAAATTGAATAATAACTTCAGTTTAATTGATAGGACAATGAATATTTATTTGGATTAATTATTATTTTAGTGTTATGAAGTCAAAAAATGTTTTGATATCTTCAAGACGATGATTTCCTTGAGAGAGGCGATTAGTTTTTATATCGAAAGGATCCTGTTTCCAGATTTTTCAAAGGAATACATTTGCATTTGGGAAAGATACTTATCAGGAACGACTTTTTCGTCCCAAATTTCTCACAAGAAGCTATAACCTGCGACGTCAAGTAAGTCGTATGTAAGGAGACAAATACTCGTAAAAAGACATTCGATAATGTGAACTTATTGGCCAGATAATAATGTACTCATATGGTAACCAGGCAGTCCTGAATTTGATCCCTCACAGCGTTGTGGGTGTGGACTACTGAGGAGTACGAAATGAAGACGAAACACCTGTTCAGTGCTTTCAAGTTCGCAATGATTTTCCTGGGGATGCCAATTTTTCATGTCAACTTCTTCGAGACTGGAAGTGTTTGGTAGTCGTATTGTGTTGATATGCATGAAAAGATTAACTTACGGGAACAGTTGACGCCATCCTCATCAAAATTTAAAAAACCAGCATTAATGTTTTTCTCTTTTGTTGGTTCTTCAAAGGATAACTTTCATGAAAATAGTTTTGGAATGTGATGTGTTCCAGTAGTCATTATTATTATCATTACTTTCATAAAATGATCGTAATGATTATTATTGATGAACTTTTGAAGCAAAGATGTTTCATCGTTATTAGTCTTCATCAGTGGAACAGAAGCATACAAAAAATATCTTTTACTAGAACTAAAGAAGGTGACCTAAAAATCGATGTTCAGAATTTTGGACCAATGGAAGCAAGCAGTACTTGTCACTATTTGCCAGTCATTTAGGAAATTGGTCATTTCATAGTAACTG